TAATAATTAAATTTAATTATTAATTATTTAATAAACTTTGAAAATTCATATCTCCTTCATACGAACTCTGTTTTCGATGTTCTTTATATCCACGCGAAGGTGAGACTACGCTCTACAACTTTCGTTTAGACTCCGTCGGCTAATTTTAACTTTATTTTTATTATTTATTTTTAATAGGCCGGGACAGAAAAACTTCGTTATAAATTCATAACTTCTTCGTTTGACGTCCGTTCTCGCCTAACTTTTTATCGCTTCGATAATAACAACGAGATCTTCGATTCTCGTTTACATCACTAAGGCTAAATATCGCTCTAACGTAAATTTCACTTTTTCCGTCATTCAGCGTTGCCGGTTCTGTCGCGAAACTTCGACAGGTCATAACTTCTTCGTTATAACTCGGATTTCGGCATTCTTTATCTTCGGAAACCTTGTTTCAACTACTACAACATTATCTAAAGATATCAAGTTTATTTTACACTTAAATTTTGACGCTTATTTTTATTCTTAATTAATCAAACCACATAATTAAGCAATTAAGCACAAAACACATAATACTCAAATAATACACTTCTATTATTTCAAAACGGGTTACAAAGGTTAACCTAGACTATTACATTGCTAAAAATGTCAAGCCCAGAAACACAGACGCTACACTTTTTTACCTCAAATGGATTGCTAAGATGAAGATGACTCTGGATCTATAAGTTCAAGCCACTCCCAAGCAACCTCCAAGTGTTATTCTTCTTCTACTTCACCAAAAACACCACGAAAACTCACTTCCAATTTCAAATCTCACAAATGACAATTAGGATTTTGATATTAGGGTATAGATGGATGGAGGATATTCATTAGGAGGTCCAAGGGTGTAATAAGTTGTTTAAATAGGGCACAAATCCTAAAAATTAGAGTGTGCCTCTGCATTGTGTATACCCTGCATACTCAGACGTACGTCGAACGTACGTGGGTGCATCTGCGATCCTTCAATGAGCTAGTACGTTAAGCGTACTCATAGAGTACGTCCTATGTACTACCTGGGGACTGAAAATGATAGAAATTTAAATATTAAGGGTTAAAGAGAAACATACCAATATTCTCGAATGTTATAATTCTCCCCCACCTGAATCAAACTTCGTCCTCAAAGTCCGCTTCCCCAAATAACTATGGGTAGTGCTCCCTCATCTTGTCATTCGGCTCCCACGTCCATTTTATCCGTATTTTTTGGGATGTTACATACCAGGTACAAGTCCAGGTCCGGGTTTTCCGGTTCTTCGACCCGTTTGGACTGATACAATTTTACATGCATATGGTACAACTTGTTCAAACGTGTTTTTGGGTTTGATACAACTCGTTAAAACGAATATGTTGTTAGGTTTGTTACGTTACAACTCGTTAAAATGAATACCTTTCTGGGTTTGATATAGTACAACTCGTAAAAATGAATATGTTTATGTTTCTTGTGTCCTTTGGACCGATCAAACTTTAATTGTTTATACTTTATACCATTTGTTTGAAGGATTGTACCTCATTACACAAAAAACAACAAAATTATAGTCTAAACTAATCTACAAACTCTAAATTACACATTGGAAAAAACTGCATGTCAGTTTGATTAAAACAAATAAGGTATTGTATAAAGAACTTCATTGAGTAAAAAAAATTTAATTTTTTGCTGGAAAACTGAAATATTTCAGCTTTGTTATCTCATCTTTGAAGGATTCTAATTCATCAAATATAACACCAAAAACAACAAAATTATACTCTAAAATCATCTACAAATTCTAAATTACACATTGGAAAAAACCACATGTCAATCCGACTTAAAACGAATGATATATTCTTGTTTAAAGGATTTCACATAATACAAAAGTTTAAATTTCTTGTTGAAAAGTTGAAATATTTCAGCTTTGATATCTCATATTTGAAACATTATAACTCATCGAATATAATACAAAAGAAAAACAAAATTATAGTCTAAAATTATCTACAAGTTCTAAATTCCACGTTAGAAAAAACCACATTTCAATCCGACTTAAAATGAATGAGATATGTTTGTTTAAAATTTTTCAAAGAATACAAAATTTTAAATTTCTTGCTGAAAAGTTGAAATATTTTAGCTTTGATTTCTTATATTTGAAGGATTGTACTCATCGAATATGACACCAAAACCAATAAAATTATAGTGTAAAATCATCTACAAACCCTAAATTACACATTGAAAAAAAAAAAAACACCATGTCAATCCGACTTAAAACGAATGAGATATGTTTGTTTAAAGAATTTCACAGATAGTGGTGGATCCATAATCAAATTAAAGGGGTATTCTCGACAAGTAAATGGGTATCCTCGATATAAAATAAAAAATAAAAAAATAAAATAAAAAAAAAATGTGTAATACACATTAAGAAAAAAAATCTGGAAAAAATAACACTACTGAAATTTTTTTGAGGGGTATCTCGGGCTACCCCAGGATATATATTAGATCCGTCAATGTTCACAAAATACAATTTTTTTTTAGAAATAAGCCGGTCGAAAACCAGTTTTTACCCGGAACCGGCCGGATCGAACCGGTTTTGCTCAAATCCTAGAACCGAAAACTGGCCCGCAGGTCTAGAAAAATGGTTCAATCCGGTCCGGTCTTGTGTGGGATGAGTTTCTTGCTTGGAATTGGAATAAAAGTTTTATTTTAATTGGGTTAAAAGAAGGAAAGCATGATTATATTATACAATTTTAATATGTTTTTTAGTTAGTGCTTGGTATCAAGCTGCCATTTCAAATTTATAATATAATCTAATTACTAAATAGATTATTAAACGTAAATTCATTTATCCCAATATTAAAAATATATTAATACAACGTATGTTGTAATGAGCAAATAATATTTTTATGAAATGTACACTACAATTCAGGAAAGTGTAGTATTGTTTACTATTTTACTATTTTAGTGAACGTAAATTATAAAGAATAGCTAAGAAATTTTACCCCTACACTTTTGCACATTTTAGTTCAAAAAGTGTAGTGATTGTTAAAAGGTGTCGATTAGACTTATTGTTATAAACATTAGATGGGTGTTACCTAAAGTGCATTCAAAATCTTATGTACATTGTTTTATTTGCCAAATATTATATCATTATTTTAACGAATTGTAAGACAAACAAGTTACAGGTTGCGTCACTGATATTTGATTTATGGCAAAACAACTTCTTTTAAAAGCTTAAATCATAAATCTTTGGGTCATAAGGTTACTATACTTAACAAGTTAGACTATTGATGATTTATGGCAAAACAACTTCTTTTAAAAGCTTAAATCATAAATCTTTGGATCATAAGGTTACTATACTTAACAAGTTAGACTATTGATGAGTTCCACAACATGTGGTGCAAGGAAACAAAAGTATCAAATGTAAACGGTATTAACACGTTTTGATTGTAAACGGTATTAACACGTTTTGATTATACATGCACGTTTTATCGGATTTTGTTACTTTACATGAGGCAGCGTGAACCACAGTAAATCATCACTCCTTTATCCCATGAGAAGGGAAATCCTTTTTAGAGCCACACATGATGCGCTGCATGTGTTTCCCTCATATCCATCTGAAAACCAAAACATCAATCGGACAGTGGGTATGAATGTTAATATTGCTTTAACAGATCAGTCATGGATGATTATTTCTTAGCAAAAACCCCGCACACATAAATATTTCAAAAAGAACGTACAGGACCTCTCCACAATAGAATGTTTGTAGCTCGACCCTAGTCGGGCTCGTTTTGATCGATTCATTTTGTACCCCTTATCAACCCCCATTGGTTCGTTTTTCCATTTCTAATAATATGTCTATGATTGAGTAATTCATGACAATTTGTAACCTTAATTTCATTAATAATATGTTTTTCTCATTGTTACTTACGAATCTAATTTAACATGACGATACGTTTGTCGTTCGAGTATTAAAGTAGTTTAAATTTGTTTCCTATGATATATGATGCGGATGCCTTGTAGCAAAAAAGGGAGAAATGGTAAAAGCAAAGAAAGTCCAATAAACTTAGCCAACATGTTTTAAGCTATTTCCATATCTTGATTTGTTATTCAATCTGTCCAACTTGTTTATTTTGCTGCCAAATATCTTACTGAATGTCCACAGACTCGCTTGTTTAATTAGTTGAAACAGAAAGTTGTTTATGAATAGTGATATGTAACAGTATACAGAGCCAGACCAGTGAAATATGACAAGAAAACAAACAGGCAAATCATTGTTGCTACTTTATTCCATTCAACAACAAAAGAATTACTCATTGATTTTAAAGCTGAAAAAAGCAGTTATTGATTCAGAGATTTGACTTTAATGAGCATCTACTTGATGGTAAAATCTGAGGTATAGAGTTGCAGAGGAAACCATAATTAACATTGAAGATGGAAATGGAAATAGAATGATGAAGAATAAAAAATGAAGACCATGGGCATCATGAGGTATGATGACGATGATGATGGATGCATAAAAGCTATGATTATGATTTATGATGATGGATACATAAAGTTGTGGATATCATCATCCAATACAAATAAAGCTTTTGGTTGCTTTTGATTACCTCATCCGTTTATTTACCTTTCACTTCCTCATTCATTCTCACACCCTTTTTTGACTTGAGAGTTGTTTCTTTTTTTTCTTTTTTTCATAGGTAAAAAAGAAACAACCATTGGTTGTATATATAAATTAAGTGCTTGGAAGCGATTAAGCACATGATTTTAAAAAGCATATAAATTGAAACATATTTAACAGATCCGGGTATGATGCCTAATTAATATTGGAATCCTAAGAACATCATATGATTATCAAGAACAAATTACAGATGGATAATGAAGTGATTCAAAAAGGCAAGAATAATGGAAAATACAAAAAGGTTGTAGACATAATTCGGGCAATGCAAGGGCTGCGATAAATTTAACAGCCAACAAACAATACGCAGCAGTTACAAGTTACAACAAGATTTAAAGGAAGGAAGGGGTGGTCTTTATTCAAAGAGAAATGAGACTAACTGACTAATAATAATAATAATAATAATAATAATAATAATAATAATAATAGTACAAATACATTCTACAACTCACAGACCATACCAGATTTCACCAGGGACCATATGTGGCATTCCGCAACACTACACGGGCTTTAACGCTTTATTTGAACCTAAGTAACAAAACCCCAAATCAAGTGTGTCAAATACCTAAATTTTATTTAAAAATAAGTAAACTACATTTTTGGTCCTTGAGTTTAGCTGATTTTTGCAATTTTGCTCCCAAAAAGCTTTCTCTTGCAGTTAAGATGTTCCCCAACGGTTATGATCCTTAGATTGTTAAGTCTGACTCCAAGATGTTGAACTTTTCAAAATGACCAAAATTGAAAAAGCAATATACCATAACCGGACCAAATTTGTAATTCACTTATTTTTTAATGTTGAATTATTTTTTAATATACCAATTTTAGTTATTTATATTATCTTGTTATCTCAATTTGTTGACTAATTCTCAACATCTTTTTTATTATTTTAACTTTTTATAGTATAATTCACATATGAAATATGTATTTTAATAAAATTTTATAATCATATCCACATATAAAATGGCATAACCCTTAATTAAAAGGAAAAAAATAATTATATATATATATATATATATATATATATATATATATATATATATGAGAAAACTACAAATTTGGTCCCCTGTGGTGCTTTTTCAACATTGGTCCAGGGGCAAAATGGTCATTTAAAAAAATAGCAAACAGCATCCAGACACGTTACAAAAACCCAAAACAATGCGAGAGAAAAGTATTTGAGACTAAAACTGCAAAAACCAACTAAACTGAGGGACCAAAAATGAAATCAACTCTTCAAAAAAAAAAAAAAAAAAGCATACCTCCTCCTATTGTGGTTGTGTTTACCCATTGTCCGTACAAAATGGGGCATGTCAAACCTCTCCCCTGCAACAGTACGGTAAATGTAAAGCTTCTCAACGGGAGAGTTTTGAGGGATGGAATCAAGATTCTCTCTTTCATCAATGACCTCAACATTAAGACCAGGCATCTTCTGACCCAACACCTTACACGCTCCAAAACTAACCCCACAAGAAGACATCCAAAGGGATCGCATTGTCTCCAACTTAGAAGCATTAGCCAAAAGAGCCTTATCCCCAAAAGGACAATCCCGTATCTCCAGCTTCCTCAAACTCTCACATCCAGACAAAACATGATGCAACCCCAAATCACTATCCCCAGCAAAAGCTATCGAAAGCATGTCCAGTTTTTTAGCGTGGGTCCCGATGTGTTCAAACACACGGTCTGTCAGGAGACCCGAGAGCGAAAGCCGTCTCAGGTTTTTGCAGTGTTGGACTATGGATCCGAAACCCGAATCCAACGGTTCCAATGTCAGGTAATCCGGAGCTCGGGGCTCCAGAATGCATAAACGGAAGGTTGTTAGGTTAGGCCGGTTTTTCGCGATGCTGGTTAACGCTGCATTTGAAAACTGGCGACAGAAGTAGAGGACAGACTGAAGCTTCGGGCAACCTTCCGAGACTGAAACCAGACCTTCTTCTGTTAACATGACGTTCGCATCCGCCACAAAAGGGTCCGAAGGGAACACTCGCAATTCTTGAAGGTCCTTACATGAAATTGCAAGGGCGTTGAGCCCCGTGTCCTCGATGTAATCCAACACCTGCAGTTTTGTATCTTTTATCAGTTTGATATCATGGCCACAGATTATGAAACTGTGCATTAAGAGATACAGAGTGGGTGTGTGTGACATACCCATAGGCGCTGCAGGTTATGACATTGGCTAACAATCTTGGTAAGATCAGGACTTTGTGTGGCGGCATAGCTCAAGTTTAGAAAAGTGAGGCCAGGACACACAGAGTAAAAAGCAGGAAGATAAGCTGGAACCACATCCCAAAACCCTGAAAGCCCTTTTAGATTCTTGCAGCGTGAAAAAGCTTCCAGTAGACTTGAATATAGATCTGATCGGATGTCTGCAGAGTAGGAGCCTGTGCCAAATTCAACCAGCTGTGGGGCCAGCTGTAGGAGTGTGGGGAGCTTCTCAAGGGGTACAGTGCGGTTGAGTCGAAGGGTCTTGAGGTTGGGTGATCTGGCAACCAGGCGTTCAAGGGCTGAGAAACTCACCTCACAACCCAAACAAGCCATGTTTAGAGACTCCAATGAGGTAAAAGAATCAGGGAAGTGACTCAGCCAATGCCCGCTTACATCTTCAACTTCACACTCCCGCAACTCCAATACTCTCAAATTTCTGTATTCAAAATCAAAACACCAAACAATTCAATAAACAAAGGATAAAAGTATAAAAGCATCTTGCTTTTCTTTTCTTTTTTGAGGTCCCAACAAGTACATATAATTTACCTTCTACTATATAAAGCATCTTGTTTTTTCAGGAAAGGATGTGTCAATAAAGAAGACTCAGCAGCTTTCAAAATCATTTTTATTAAAATTCACATTAAGTTATCAATTCCATTGTATAAAGTAACAGAAAATGTAGCAATCACAGAAGGAAAACTACCCTCCGTCCACAAGAAACAACTGATCAACAAAAAAGTCCACAGTCCACTGTTGGTAAAGTTGTTGTAAAAGCAGATAATAAGTGCTAACAATCCTACAAACATAATTTCTTATAACGTAACTAACAAACGCTAGCTAGAAGAAACAAAATGATTTGAAGAACCCAATTATACATGAATATCATCTAGTACTAAAGCTAGATTTAAGTAGTAGTACTTACAGACCAAAAACATTTCACAATACAAGCAAGATGTGCCTCCAATCAAACAGTTTCTTACAAGAAGCCTCAAGATTCAAAAAAATTTAGCGATTATGTTACGAAAGATTAGGAGAAGCAGGGTACGGTAAGAGAACAGAGTTTTCTCCAGGCATTGATAATTAAGGTCTATAAATGGCATACAAGATTTAAATTATGAGTTTTCAGTGAAAAAGTTCGAGCTGAGCTGAAGATAACAAATATTATAACAACACTAGTGATTCAGTTTTTTTTTTCACAAATTAATGGATGAAATGAGATATTTTACCTGCAATTAGCAGCAATGGCAGCAAGACCGTCAGTACTGAAACCCTCACATGACGACAAAACCAAAACCTTGAAGTTCTTAAAAGATTTAGAAATTAACTCCAAGCTCTCATCCGTAACCACCATGCGTTTAAGTCTGATCTCCTCCAACCAAGGGTAACCCCTAGCAATTTCAACGATCCAAGGGTGAGCATACCCTCCCCATCCCTCCGGAACCAAATTGAAGTCGGCAAAATGCGGTTTCCCTTTCAACTCAACCGATTTCACCTCCGGAAACCTCCTGATCATGATTTTAGGGTTTACCGCGTAACAGTTCCCCACAAAAATCCTCCTCCGGCACCACCTCTCCATTTCATACCACGACTTGCACACCAACGAAACCGCGTTCCTGTCCTTTTCCGAGCTCAAAAATGAAAACACGTGCTCCAACACCTCCTCAGGAAACGAGTACGCCATCGCCTATAACCTTCAATATCTGCCGGAAAAGATGGCCGTAAACAGGTCAACTCCGATGCAAGTTTGCCGATGTGTATACTACGTGTAATAGCCTCAGATCTGAGCAGAAATACACCATTAACGAGCTCAGATCGAAGTATTTTTAGTTGCAGATGAGAGAGAAAAGAGAGGTGCGGAGAGAGATAAGATTTTAATATGTCGTGTGATAGATAGAGTGATAGGTGAGGTTAAATTTGTAGGGTAAACTGTTCTTACAACCCTTTACTTTAGTGTATTTACCCTTACAGCCCCTTGCAAATATTAATGCTAAATAAACCCTAAACTCTAAATTCTCTGTCGACCGAGTAGTTTGCATAACGTCATCCATATTTAAGTAATAAATTCATAGCTCAAATAGAAAAAACAAGAATTGTTTTTTACATCTTATTTTTTTAATGTAGGACCATGGCAGAGAGATCATAGCGTTGAGGAAAGACCTCACCTAGGGGTTATTGAATAGCCGATGTTATCCCTTAAAATTTTTGATACATTATATATATATATATATATATATATATATATATATATATATATATATATATATATATATATATATATATATATATATATATATATATATATATATATATATATATATATATATATATATATTTTAAGATTTATGATTTGAGATTTTTAAAGGCGTGTTCAATAAAACTAACCGGTAATTGGTAGTGGTTAACGACCAGCGGATAGCTGGTAGCGGGTAGCGACTAGCGGATAGCTGGTAGCGGGTAGCGTTTGATTTTGGCGTTATGTTGAAAGCTACTACATGTAGCTTTTGATTTTTGAGTGTTTTATTTAAGTTAAAAGTTAAACATTCATGTCGTCGAACAATGTTTTTTATTTTTTACTGGCGTTTTTTTAAAAGCTAGAAATCAGAAACTCTCAAACACTGCGTGCCAAACATGCCTTAAAATTATGTGGCGTTAATAGCACCTCCAGTACCGTGGTGCCGCACCAAGCCATACCACACTAATGAGATTTTTTTGTTTTGTTCTTATGTATCATAAAATAAAAGAAATCAATCTAAGTTAAGAAACCGACAAAATGATTATGGCACAAAGTATGATTTGCCATGTAATTGTCACATATGATCATGCATTTAGGTATATTCTTAACCTAGTTTTCTCATTCTTAACGGCCTCTAATGGATTGTTTATAAGGGTTGGTAGGCTTGAATGTAGGGCCCCACTTGAATGTGGTATCTGATGTTGTCCTTTCTTTTTGAGGTTGAGTGTTCAAGTCGCGTAGTGAACATATGTGAAATAATTTAGGTATAATTTAATATACTAGTTGTTTCAAAAAAAAAAAAAAAAAAAAAAAAAAAACTTATGTGGTCCAATGTTACATTGGCGTGCATTCTAGTTATAGGAGCTACACTCAAAAGTGGTCAAGATATGGTCCAGTGTTACATTGGCGTGCATTCTAGTTACAAGAGCTACATTCAGATGTGGTCAAGAATCAAGATAAAGGTTTGTGACACAGCTTAGTAGGGGTTGACATGGGCGCTTTTAGTAGGTGTCACGGCGTGACACCGACAACACCTATTTTTTTCTATATACAGTGGATAAAATTTTGATTTTTTTACATAGTTTTTTCTACACCGCAACACCTACTTCAACATCAGTAACACCTACTATGTATTTCTACATCCTCTCATGGGTTGCTTAACGTCATTGTCAAAACCAAGCATCTCATCACTATGGTTGGTGGGCAAACATTTTGGATTTAGCCTAGAGTAGTTGAAACACATGGTTATGATGCCATGGTCAATTTGCATTACATACATACACAAAAGGTAATAAAACAAAGTGTGGCTCAACATTTTAACTGTATGTACAAAATAGGAATTGCACTTTTCACCATAATCGACATATGTGAGTATGATTCCTTGGATCAAAAATATATTTTACTCTATGTGTAATCATAATTTTATAATATGTCTCTGCTTATACTATATGTATCCTCGATTTCTAATAAAACGATATTAGGAATCTCAAAATATTCCGCATCATAAAGTGGCTAGTGCTGGTCAAAAGAATATGAATATAATCTTTGATAAATGGATGGAAGTGAGGGTTAAGAAGTGAATATTTGTGGCATGCAATTAGTTGTGAAAATGGGTTTGATTGACGAGACTTCTAAAAGTGGGGAACATAATGTAAAAACCCAAAAGGTGATGGTCGTTTGGGAGTTTAATCCCATTATGTGTATGGGGTTAATCATAACAAGTGATAAGTGCAATAAAAGTATATTATTTGAGTGTTATTCGGTTCTCGCATTTAACATGTGTATATACGTACGAGATAACATATCATCATTATTTCCTTGTAAATGTGAAAAATAAATAAAAATTATAATAAATTAATTACTTGTTATTTGTATGACTGTATGGGGTTAATCATTTTTTTTTCCAAAAAAAAAAAAAAAAAATCGAGTCCGGTTGAGCCTGTTTTTTCATATAAGAATTTATTTTATAACATTTTTAATATTTAAGAAAATGATTTTAATACGATATATCCGACTGGTTTATTTTGGAATCAAAAGATGTAATAATGTATCAGTTATTTATTTAACCTGTTAAAACATTGTTTTATAATTTATATCAGTTGCATAATTAGTAAAACATGTACCGTGTTGATGTCATGGTTTTATGCTTATATGTGGCCAACTATTTAAAGCGATAAATTTGATTGTCGAAAGTGTTTATTACAGTTTTTTTGTAACTGTGTCAAAATCTTATCAAATTTGAAGGTCTAACTGATTTAATTTTCCATTTAAAAATGTAACTTTAAATTACTTGTGTCAATTTAAGTGGAAAAGGGTTTAATTTTATTGATGTTAAATGTTATGGTCTATCTCAATGAAATATATATTTGATTTGTTTGACCGTGCATGACCATCTAAGAACAGAATTGTTGGCACGCCTATTTAATGCCTCCATATTTTTCCTTGATAGTGTTTATTTATCATATCTAAGTCTATATTATATTATTGTAGGCGGTGTGGTTTATCTTGCTGTGATTCGTATGGATATACATCATAAAGTTCATGTGATCAGTCAATTTGTTAGTACTCCTATTATTGTGTGTTTATGCACTCAGGAGTTGCTCTTCATATTATGAGATATTTTTGTAGGACTCGGTTTTAGAGTATCGTGTACCCTTCCACGTTTTCTCTAGAGTTGTTGCAAATTGTAGTTTTGATTGGGATAACAATCCTAATGATCGTAAGTCCATCGCTAGTTTTTGTACTTTCATTTGATGTTCATTTATCTTATGGAAAAGTAAGAACAAAATGTTGTCTCTTGTTCATTTATATATGTCGGGCATAATGTTATGATCGTTATTATTTGTGAAATTGTTTGGATATGTTACCTTCTTGCAAATATAGGTAATTATCTTTTAGTCTGCCCCCTTACATTATGACAATAATAGTGCGATGCATATTGTGAAGCATTTTGTTTTCCATGAACGCACGAAGCATATTAAGATTGACTGTCATTTCAGTTGTCATCATCTACAGGTTGGAATCATCTCGTAACTATATGTTCCATCAACCTTGCATATTGTTAAAATTTTCACGAAAGCTCATTCCACCTCTCGGTTTTGGTTCTTGTCTGACACACTCTTAATGTTTATTGTTATCGTATTAGTTTGAGGGGATGATTGTTAACATACAAGTTATATTGTAGATGTCTTAAAGATACAAAGATGTAATTCGTAAATTTGTGTTTTGTATGATTTTTTGATATACAAAATGTGGAAAGCTTTGTAGTGCTCCTTCCGTATTTGGCATAGGATTATGCAAGGCTAACCCTTAGGTCAGTTATAATGAATATCATATGAGCTATCCTAGTTGTCATTTTATTATTGATTGTTTTTTCCACATACTTAGTTATTATATATCTACTCTAATAAATGAAAGTTTTTTTTGCTACTTGTCACACTTTCATTCAATTGTCAAATGTCATTGCATGGTTATTTTGAATTAATTTTTATTCCACATATCATTTTATGGTTTTTCTATTTTATTAATTCCACATAATATTTAAATATAATAATAAATACATATTAATTTCCTTAATGAAATTTACTTTTAATTTCAAAATTACTAAATTAAAGCTTCATTAGTTTTCATTATTTATTTATATAAATTATTTGTTTAAATTTAGAGAAAAACACACTTTAATTTTTATAATTCAATATTTTTCTTATTTTTCTTATAAATTTAAATTTCTCAAATGTTTAGATTTTTATATTTTCTTTTTTTTTAAATAAACTTATGTAATACATGGGTCTCATACCTAATATTAGTATGTATACAAAAGGTTAGAGAATATTTAGTAGATTTTTTGTCCATTCATATTGCTCATTTGTAACATATGAGTTGTAAACACTTGTCAATAAATATCATAACTAAATTTGTACTTTGTCTTTATGTTCATCGTTTAAGCATTACATTTTGTGATCGATGGATGTTAGCATAATTAGATGTCTAGCTCTTTTGTGTTGGGTTATTAATATTCATTTTTAACTAAGTTAACATTAGATAACTTTTTTATTTATATATTTTATTTTTCTTCTCTTTTCTCTTTCTTTGTAATTAAATCTTACTGTTAATAAGAAAGTTTTAGCCGTGTTCTCTATATTGTTATCGGTTTACATGTAGATCGATACTCTTCACTCATGTTAATAACTTTGATTTCAGTGATTTTTAAAATCCTACTAATATCAAATATTTTTATTAAATCAAACATTGAATTGCATTTGTTTTGTATAGATTAATTACCCTTTAACAAATCAATCATCAAGGTTTTGTTAGCAACAAATGAAACGAACCAGCAAGGGCCATTCTGAATCAATTTTGATCATCTTTTCAATATTCAAAACAACAAACAAGAAGTTAATGTAAATAAATTCTCAAAGCTTTAGATCGACATGAGACAACAAATACTA